GTTGATCCTTCAGGCCTCGTTTCCGACCGTTTCGTGAACGCTTCAGTTCACTTCTTCAGGGTGAGGTTGCAATGCCCGAGTATCTCAATACGAAGAGGCAAACTGGAACGTTCACGTCGGAAATATACTTTTCCTTTCCTTCGAATTCCGAGATCTCGCGTTCGATAGAAATCTCGCGTGTGTTGAATTTCTAAATTCCTCCTCCAATTTCTTCGTCAATTTCGCACGTGCGAGGGAAAACGCCTCCCGACGGAGTTAATGACGGTCATTTCTCGTCGAGTGATTCAATCCCGGGCCGATTCGCCGGGCGATTAGAACGAAGACGAGTTGTCGAGAGGAAGCTCTCTCGGTGTGACGAGGCATCACCTCGCGACACCTGCGATGACGGGCATTTCTCATTAACGGCGACAATCGACGAGTGTAATGATCGCGGTTTTGGCTTCGGATTCCCGCGCCGGAGAAGAGCGGATCTCCGCTTTCAAATCTATTATCTCAGCCGCGCATCTTAACATTAAACTTCCTTGCAATTGTTCTCTGATTTGAAAGAGAGCGGAGGAACATTCGTTCACCTGGAAAGAGTCATTTATTATTCCATTTCCCGTTATTATAAAGCGGTAAATACACCTTGAAATTGCTGCACGTGGAAGAGACGAGACGATATACGAAAATTGACTACGAGCGAAATTCTCCACACACAGAAAAATATATATTGTATTCAAGTAAATATGACTTGTTTCAAGTGTTTTGTAAGTTTATACATCCGCAAGTCATATCACAAGTCCATCATAAGCATCAAATTTATTCAAATTATATTCTGAACCGTAGTAAGTTTAATATTTCAGTCAGGAGTGTTAAATTGAAACACCAAAACTAAAACTTCGGTCTGCTTGTTCAAATTAAAATTTAAGAATTTAACTTTCCTTCGATAAAGTTTATAATATTCTTGAAAAAAAAAGAATGATAAATTCTTTCGAGTAAATAATAATCAGCTTTACTAAAACATTAGAAAAACATTAGAAAAGCTGATTATCAACAATATAACTGTTATATACAACGCATGTTATATTGCACTTGCATTGCTGAGCGGGAAATTATAAACGTTGTTATAATGTTACCGTTAATTGGTGTTTACTGGGGACTATTAATACAAGGCCCGTATAAGTAATTGTTACTTGAGACTTGTCCTATATGACATGCTTACATTTGAATTTAGAGTTAGATTCGAGTTTCTTATTCGATTCATAAAACATATGCGACACATTACACTTGCAACCGTGATTCAGCTGAAAAATTCAAATCTAACTCTTCATATATATCTCCCAGAGAACCGACGTTCGTTGTGCACTGAGAAAAAGATTTCTTCAAATTTCATTAATTTTATCGCATCCAAACAAATTTCATCACTGACATGCTCCGAAGAAACTAATGTTTCGACTAATAAACACGATCGATAGGCTTTTCAACGGATATGCACCTTTATCTTAAATAAAAAAAATTGGTTTGAAAACGAAAGACAATTTTCTTATAAAGAAATCATTTGTTTCATTTTACATATTTATTGTAACCAAATAATATTTTACTTGGTTAAAAGATATCGTTTCAAATAAAAGCGTTCTTTCCGTTAAATAATCGAGTTTTCTTGAATGAGGCGACAGAATTTTTACTCAAACAAATAATACTTCGTATGTGTCGCTTCTATGATACAAAATTTTCGTGAAACAAGTAGAAATGTTAAATCGAAAGAAACCGTTTTATCTTTGCGCATCCCACAACAGGACAGTCGCGAAAAGCGTTATAAACGACGGACAGTCGGCGGAAAAAGTAACACAAGGACTGCACTTGGGCGGGAAGGAGTGTGCGGAACACTTTCCTGCGCGAGATGTATGTTATCTCCGAGTATCAAACACACAGTGCACGCTGCGAAGCCTGCGCCCGATCGGCCATTCGCAAATCCCCTGGCGGTGAATAATTTCGCGGTCCAGGAGCGACGTTTATTTCGAAACTCCCTGAAATTTACAAGTACGGCGGTACCAGCTCGCCGTTTCGCCGGAAATTTCAGCCGATCGCGGACGGGAAAGCCCGTTTCAAATTTTCCCCTCCCCCCCCTCCGAGACAACGTCACGTTCTTCCGTTCGATCATTACACGAGCGAATTCGAATCGATTCCGCCGCCTCGTGCGGCGCTTCTCGGATCTCTCCCGTGTGAGAGAGATCTCTCAAGGACTCTCAAAGAGGCGAAGACAAGCCGGAGAGAGAGAGAGAGAGATCTTGTTTTCCGTCTCCGGGGGGAAACGCTGATCTTCGATCGGCCGTGTGTTACACGCTCGCCGCGATCGAGAGTCCCGATCGCGAGTAACGATTGAAATTGCATCAATCTTAGTAAGAAACCGCGGTCGATTGCGGTCAACCTGCTCCACATGATTCGCACGCAACGCAATGCAACACCGTTTTGGCGTGACTCGCGCTAAGGTACGCGCAGGTGAGACGGCGGCGAGAAGGAGGAGGAGGAGAGGATGTAAAAGTCGCGCGCGTCAGCATGGAGATCGGATTCCAAGGGAAAGATCTGATATTCGCGTTGAGTAACGCGCACACGGGAAACATTTGCCTTGCATATTCGCCTCGCGGTATCAAACGCAATTACGGTCGCGTAGCGACCGTAGCGGTAGTAGAAAAGGGATCCTTGAGTCCGTTCGCAGGAGAAGTGCGAATTTATGGGCACGTCCGTGGGCGTAGGCACTCGCTCCTCTTTTTTTCTTCTTCTTCTCTCTCTTTGTGTCTCTCTCTTTTTTATTCCTGGTTCTTGCAACTCGCGCTAGTCACGCTCTCAACGAGTGGACGGCGTTAATGAGCACGAAAGTGAGTGAGCGAGCGAGCAAGTGAGGAAGAGAGAAAAAGATAAACGGGAAAGGACTGTCTCCCAGGATGGGCTCTTAATTTATTCGTGTTTCACACTGAGAGAAATTATACTTACACATAACATGTATGTCTAAAAAACGTATGTTTTTCAGAGAGATACCTTTAAATGTCTGATTGTCTTGAAGGTATCTTTACGACGTCTTAGAACGCCTTAATGTTCTCTGGGTTCTCTAACTATAGTTATTTTCGGCCTCAACTATACCCTTGTTATACTTTTAACCATAAAAGTAGTAGTAGCAATATGCGTGTAAGATTATGGTCGTTGACACTCTACACGGAAAAAAATTAGTATCCAAAACTCATATTCTCATATATGAACAAGAATATATAAATTTATATAAAGGTAAAAATTGCTCTCTTTTACAATGTGTAAATTCTATACAGTTCCACTAAAAATATCATATTCTTGTTATATTCAAGAATAATGTTTATGAATTGAGAGGAAAAATATCGGATAGAAAGAACGATATCTCCAAACCGATACAACTGATAGCGTTCTTTCTCTCTCTAATATTTTTTTTCTTTCAATTCGTAAAAATTATTCTAGAGTAACAAAAATATAATATTATTAATTAGAAATTATATAGAATTTCTTCATGTGAGAGAAATTTGTATCTTCATACAAGATTATATATTCTTGTTTTTGTATGAGAATATAAGTCTCGAATTAATATTAATTTTTTTTGCTATGTATAGTAAAATTAATATTAATTTTTTTGCTATGTATAGTAACACTTACTACCAGTAGAAAAGTACTACTAGAAAAATGGTCCTGCTAATTATAATTCTTTCATTAACATAATTATAGTCATAAATATGAAATATATCTCTCTGAATACAACTGTGCGTCTTGTTTTGGCGAGCTCGTGGCTACCGGTGTACGCTTCGCGTATGATTGACTCGCTATCATTCCGGTTTGCGTTTCTTTTCTTTTTTAATTTAAAATAAACACGTGGCTAAGTACAGCACGCGCAACATTACGTAGCGTTCAACCGGGGCCGGAGTCTGCCCGGGACACCTCTGTCGGGTTTTACAGGTGTGCAGCGGCGCGACGTAGAGAGCGACACGGTGGATAGGTGGTTACCGGTCGTTTGAATAAATTTCTAATAAAATTTCAAGCAGTGAAAGTAGGGTCGGATTTATCGCATAATTTCGTTTCTCGGTACACTTCGGCTACACGCGCACGTCGTGTATACATAGTTGTTGCAGCTTTGCCGCCACCGTTGCTCCATATAATTGACGATGCGTTCAATCACATGCGAGCGGTACAAATGAAGGCGTGTGTAATTGCGCCAATAATTCTCTCGCGTCTCGAACGATTCCGCGGGCGTGGGATTCTCGAAATCACCGTTTCAAAGATCGAGAGAGAAGAGGAAAGGACGGAAAGGAAGCAAACGGAGAGTCGCAACTGGCCTCAATCCGCGTAAAGCCCGTGTCAGACTAGGTGTTGGAAATCGAGGACTAAAGATCAGAGATTGAGGATAGAAGATTGGAGGATTGAAGGATTGAGCAGATCGCAGATTGGAAGTTGAGCAATCGTGACAAAGCGAGCCAAGGTCGAAATTAGCAGTCGACCCATCGAATTCTAATCTCCAGTCCGTGATCCTGGGCTTTCCCCACAGCTGCACGGAGAGAAAAGTATTCGGCACTTGTAATTGTAATTGCACGGGGAAAGAATTATATTATGCGTGTATTGCTGCTACTATTATTTTTCGTTAGGAAAACGATAAGAAGATATAGCTACGCGGGAAGGAAATACAGCATCAATTCAAGATCTATATTCTCATATATAAGCAAGAATTATATATTCATGTTAACACGTATGTAAACAAGAATACGTGATCTCTCCGTATATGTGTGAGAATATGAGAGTCTAGAATTGATATTAATTTTTTTTTCGA